TAAATTTTTAAACCTAGACTGGTTTGGATGCTGAATGAATCCTTCAGAGCCTCTAACCTGGGGTAGCTGCTCTGCCTCTGGGTGTGTGAAAAGAGTCTCAGCTTCATCTTCTCTTTAAGGTAGCTATCCCAGCTGGGTTCAGATAATGTTCGGCCACCCATGTCCTTTTCGTGTTTCTTGGTCTCTTGGTCTCCTGAGTATGGAAGGTGATTTTCTCTCAGCCCAGAATTCAGCCTCTGGATTTAGGCCTTCCCATGCCTACCTTACAGATAACTTTCTTGGCCCTTTCTGCAAGTCCATAAGATCCACACATTGTGCTGTCTCATCTAGTCATTTAAAACTTTTCATTAGGTAAATGTCAAGACTCAGTTTCTCCTATCCAGATGACAACCTTGACACTCACACTTTCCAGAGCATCTTAGTTTCAGTCATTCTAATCTGCTGTCCTAATAAGTATATATGTACTTGTTTAACCACGTGTCCCCAGTTGGTTCAACACAATCACCATCCCTGTGTCTTCAGCTAGTATCTCCTCCTCTTCTCAAAAATGGGCAAAAGGCCACAAACAGCAGATGGCATTTGGGGAGGATTACCTCATGTTTGCTCCCCCATCTGGCAAGTGGAAGACTGTATCCATACCATCCTTCAAAGCACCCCCCCAACTCCTGACCCTCAGCCTCCGGCTTTTTCCCTGGACTTTCCCTTAATTCCCGTTCTTCATCTGAAAAGTGCCTTTGACTGAAGACTCATTTGCAGAGCAGAGATAACTGACACCCTCTGAATCCACTGGATGTTCTAGCTGGCCTTGCTTCAGGTTACCCACTCCCCTCTCTGTCCCAGGTACTCTCTAAGCCCCCTCTTCGGTGAGCCATCTCACAGAATTCTACTCATTACAGTTTTACAACATCAAAATCCCTTAACCATATAGTAATAATAATAATACACATAGAATCAGGGGATGGCTGATCACTCATACATGCTTCTAAGGGAAAATGGACAGCTCTCTTTCTGGTAAGAAAAATATGGGTCTCCACTCCACCACAAAAAAAAAAAAAAAAAAAAAAAAAAAAAAAAATCCCAGGATGCCCCAGAATTCAGTTTCTTCTCCTCATGACGTGTGGTAAAGCACGTCAGCTGCTCCTTGTTGCTGTGCAGATCACCCAACATCGGGTCACTGAGACAGAAGGCAGCGCTAGCTCCCACAGCTGATAGGATTAGGAGATGGTGCTTTGTCAGCCTTGACTGAGTCTGGAGAAGCCCTCAGCACACGCAGGTGAGCTATGAGGGAGAGCAGAAGTGGGGGACTGTGATGGGTCTGGTTGTATGGTGCATTCGTTTTCTCTTTGCAGTGCATGTCTATGTATTGTCTTTTCTGTTAAGTTTGCAGTCTGGGGAGGGGGGTGGTGGCGGTTTCCTATCGATAAAAACCTGTCCTTCATCACATCTATTTCAGGGATTGGCCACATGTGCCTCACAGGATTTTTGTGAGGCTCAAATGAGATTACATATGTGAAAGAGCTCTGAAAATATAAAGTTTTGTGCAGATGAAAGATATCATTCATTTAATTATAAATTTTGCATTAACAAAGAATTAAATAATAGATCCCAAATTTGTGGGCGTAATTACCTGTACGTACTCCTTTTCCCCCAATCTGTAACACCCTGCCTCCCTTTCCTTCTGAGGCCTGGACAGGGATATTATTTATAATTTTGAAGGGTTTTAGCTTTCTAAAGCAGTTGATAGTCTCTAAAAAGCAGCATTACATTCATTTCTAAAGGAAAAACCACAAAATTACAAAACAACAAAATAAGTAAGTAGCAATGGAAAATGATGCATGAGAATATTTTAAAGCAGATGAAAGATGAATATAATATACTCGATTAGATTATATCTTTTTGATGATATAATCCAAACCCTATAAGACATTATTCTTAATGACATGAGAAACACTTGAATGAAATTAAAGGGAGCATAGATATTATCATTTTTAAAACTTGCCTTTTAGAACAGCAGAAAAACAGGCTTGTGTTCCAAAAGTACAGAGCAAAGAGACGTTAGAACACTAAATCATCAGCCTTTCCTTCGGCAGGGTTGCTATGGTGACAGCAAGGCTACCGCACAGCCTCTCACTGCCTGCACTTCTGCAGTAAAAGCTTTCACTGAACACATGTTGGATTTTTAAGGCACACACCCCATCATCAAATACAAAGACATATTGGAAGTGGCTTTATGAGTCATTTGCAAAACAGAATTGTGCCTATTTTCTTTATTCTGTATCGATGGGCTCCTTATGGGGTTATAAAATTCACTCATTCGTTCATTGGTTCATCGGACTGTTGTATATTGAGCACCTATTGCATGACGGGACCTGTACTAGGCACTGCCTATGACTCCTGGTGAAGACAAGCAAATAAGTGGGGAATTCGGAAACAAGATTATTAACAGCTCTCCCAGGGTACTTAAAAAACAAGTGTCCTGCATATATGTAAGGACTGACCTTGGAGGATCAGGGGAGGTTTCCTGGAAGACGCTGTCTCTAAAATGAAACTTAATGTATCTTTAGGAGAAGAGGCTTAAGGAGAGTGAGATGCAAGAAATGCTCTAGACAAAAGAGACCAGCATGTGAACAGTCTAGAGGAAAGAGAAAGCATGATACTTCCAGAGAACTGAAAGTTCTACACTCTGAGTGTTAGTGTTATCCATGTGAATGTAAAGAGAGTAGCCAAGGGGTGGGGGTAGGTATAGGAGAGAGGGTGGGTGGATGAGGAGTGGCAACACATGAGATCAGAGAGGTAAATAAGACCAGATCATAAAAGGCCTCTCTGCCACGTTCAGGAGTTTGAATATTATTTGGAGGACAACTGAGAAGTCATTAATGCGTTTTAATGAAGAAACATAGCTTGATTTGGTCGTTCTGAAAGGCCTCGTGGAAAAATTTAAGAACTGGCAAGAAAGGAATAAAAGGCAAAATTAGGAAGCAAGACAACTCCAGTTAGACCACTGCTACAATAATCTGGGATGTTTGTGGCTTAGACTCTAAATGAAAATAGTAGAGTTGAACAGTGGGCAGAAGTAATCAGATTCAAGATATTAGTACTGGAGTAGCATGGAGATGACTTGGTGGTTTCTGCCATGTGGGGGCCATGTGAGGGAGATGAAAAAGTCAAGAATGACTCTGAGGTTCTGACTGGGGCAACTCAGTGTGGGCTTTTCTACTCTTAGGCCCCCAGACTCAATTCTCAGTTCTCCGTAGGAAACTTAGAAGCACCTTTTGGCCTTAACAGTACATCCCTGTGTCATAGTATGTATGTCCTTGAGCTCATAATTTTGGAAATAACATTGTAGGAATCATCCTGGACCACCAGTTTCCTGAAATCCTTATCTAGGACAGTGTGGGTATAGAAAGTATGAATTAGAAATCACCCCCTCCCTCCAGATAAAGGATTCTAAGATTACCAAGCTCACTGCTTAAGAAATCTAAGTAGATTGAAAAGGCAGGAAGATGTATGGGATAAAATTTCTTTAGGGATTTAGGAAAAAGACAAATTGATTTCGCTAATCCTCTGATTTCAGGCTTTCTCAACTCACACTGCTTATTCCTGGATTTGAGATTTGAGGACCTCAGAAAAATGCTATTTGGAGGGCAGACAAATGGGGATGGTGGTGGTTCAAACACAATTTTCAAGGATTATAGTCCTCCCATGTATAACACTGGGTATAAGGATCAGACTGCTTCCTGTCCACATTGCTGCTAAAAATATCCTTCAATTCTGAATGAAGGGCATCTAAGTCATCATTTATGTTGAGTTCCATCACTAGATAAGAGTATAGCGAGTGTTCCTAAGAAGGCCCATGAACTAGCTGTTGGTTTCTATTTTAATTCCTCCGTTGGACAGGGTTTTGAGCTTTTTTGAACAAATTTGAATGCCTCACAAATGCTTTTTCTGCCTGTCAAGTAAGAGGCCTCAGGAAATATTGAAGGGGTGACCTGGAAATATTGAAGGGGTGACTTAATGGCCCTTTGTAAAATTCTGTTCAATGCAGTGGGTACAGCTGTTTTGTTTTCCCCATCTAATCCTCACAGCTACCCTTAAGGTAGATTTTATTATCCCTCAATTTATTTTTTTTTTCTTGTTTGATTTCTTTTTTTTTTTTTATAAATTAATTTTTATTGGTGTTCAATTTACCAACATACAGAATAACACCCAGTGCTCATCCCGTCAAGTGTCCCCCTCCGTGCCCGTCACCCATTCACCCCCACTCCCCGCCCTCCTCCCCTTCCACCACCCCTAGTTCGTTTCCCAGAGTTAGCAGTCTTTATGTTCTGTGTCCCTTTCTGATATCTCCCACACATTTCTTCTCCCTTCCCTTATATTCCCCTTCACTATTATTCATATTCCCCAAATGAGTGAGAACATACACTGTTTGTCCTTCTCCGATTGACTTACTTCACTCAGCATAATACCCTCCAGTTCCATCCACGTTGAAGCAAATGGTGGGTATTTGTTGTTTCTAATGGCTGAGTAATATTCCATTGTATACATAAACCACATCTTCTTTATCCATTCATCTTTCGATGGGCACCGAGGCTCCTTCAATTTAACGAAGATAAACTCGAAGTCCGGAGAGGTCCGAACTCTGCGGTGAAGCACTCAGCTGGGAGGGAGCTGGGGGCTGCCGTGCAGCCGGTTTCCGACCGAGTTCAGGTGTAGGGTCCTTCCCCTCGCCCTGTGCCTGGGCCCATTCCAGGCGCTGCAGGGCAGAGACGGAGAAGGGGCTGCCCCGAGCCCTTGGGAAGCGGCCTCGGGCTCGTTCCCCGGCCTCTGCTGCACCCCCGCCCCCGGAGATCCCTGAACCAGACGCCGTGTCAGTCCTGCGGCACCGGCTTGGCTGGGGGCCGGGTGCAGGGGGGCCCGCCCCGCCGCTCTCGGCGAGGTAATTGTGGGGAGCCGCATGTTGACTTAAAGCCGGGATGGCAGGGAGGGGCCGCGAGGGAAAAACTTTCTCCATTTTGGCCCTCGGTGAGGTCGCGGCTTTCCTCCGCTCTCCTGCCAGACGGGCACCCCCTTGCAGCCGGACCCCAGCTGCCAACGAGAGGGGGTCGGGCGCCTCCCGGCTGGAGGTGCGGGGCCCGGGCCTGCCCGCTGGGGGTCGGGGGCGCCGCGAGGGGCCGGGACCCGTCCCCGGGGTCGGGCAGGTGAGGGGGGAGGCGGGGAGGCGGCGCCCCGGCGGCGGCGGCGGCGGCGGGCCCGGCGGCGGCACCACGTGTCCGGCCGGGGCGGGGCGGGGCGGGGCGGCGGGGCGCGCCCTCGGAGCCCCGCGCACGGCGGCCGCGGCGTGTGGGGCCCGCAGCCCGCAGCCCGCAGCCGGCAGCCCGCGCCGGCTCAGCGCAGCGTCCTCGCTCCGTGCCCGCAGGTGCCTCCTCCTGGACGGCGGCCGCGGCGGCGCGGGGACCCGGCGGGCGGCAGAGCGATGGGACCCCTGCGGGAGACCAAGGTAAGGAGGGCACGTCGTGGGGACGGGCGGCAGCCTCCGCGGGCGCCGGAGACGCAGAGGGAAGGTGGGCGCCGCGGGGCAGTGGGCGAGCCAGGTGAGCCCCGGGGGGGGGGGCGCGGGGGCGGGGGCGGGGGCGCGGGGACCGGGCGGTGGTGGGGACGCTGGCAGGGCACAGGGGCATCCGCTCAGGTGCTGCGACCGGGAGATGGCACAGCAGGAAAAGATTTGAGGGGTTGACGTGTGGACGTGAGGATTAAAAGATCGACTTTGGAGGGTTAATCCCGTCTCCTGAAATTGGGGATTTGGGATCCGGCTCCCAAATGATGTCTGGTGTGTGATGAGAATAAAAAGGATCTGGTGACAGCAGTAGGGTCCCCAGCGTGTCAGCAGCCCACATCGGTTCAGGGTCTGCAGTGTGCCGAGAGTGGGTGACGTGGGATACCTGCTGGGCGACTGCTGCGCAGCGCAAATCCAGAGGCTGGGTGCGGCTTTCGCCCCGGATGGGGTGGATGCCTGAGCGACCTCAGGAGTTCCCCGCGGCTGAGGCTTTCCCCTCGGTTCCTGCACTGTGCAGACCTCCCCGAGGTGTTGACTTTGGCAGCGACCCTGCCTGGTAAGCCGCGGGGAAATGGGCGGGAGGTCATGCTTCCAAATACTGTTTGTTACCCAATCCAAAGGCCTTTTTGGATTGCAGAGGTTGGAGGGAGCGGTGAGTTTTTTGCAAAGAGCTCCTCCTAGGAATCCATTTTAATAAGGCAGGGTGGTGGTGACCCCGAAAAACACTGGGCTTAAGGCTCATTCTACATCTAGATGATATGCCTCATTGCATAAGCTTTTAGACTCAGTTTCCTCATCTGTAAATAGGCATTTAAGTTGGGGTTGTAAAGATCAAATGCGATAACGGTTGGGAAAGCACTTTAAAAATTGGAAAACCTTGCCAAGATAATACTTTTTATGCATTTTTAAAACCAAGCCATCGCCCTCTGTGTTTAATTCTGTGTTTTTTTAAGGGGAGAGAGAGAGAAAACGCTCTTCTCCTGGGTGTCCTGTAAGGAAAACAAAAGCTAAACATGATGTTAAAGGTGGAGCCATCTTACTGGGTATTGGATTTTTGTTTGCTTTTCTGTTGGCAAAAAGCCTTGTGTACCAGGATATTAATGAATAATTAAGATCCTGGCCGGAAGAGGAGGGGTTTGAAAGATAAGTCTGCATGATCTATCGGGAAAGAATTGTTCCAGGTATATAGGGACTGCTCTGTGAGCAGACTGGAAAGCAGAAATCAAATTGTCACAGCTAATTCAGGGAAAGCAAAATGGAAATCTAGAGGAAATCAAGTAACAAGCTGGAGTGTACTGTGAGTAATAAAGAACCTTTGAGAGAAGTAGAAGCTTGAATGTGATAGAAAAACCCAGAGTGGGAAGGTGAGTTAGGAATCGCATGGGTGAATGGAATGGCTTTTCTGCTAATGGGTGGAAGAGAGTGTGTGTGTGTGTGTGTGTGTGTGTGCGCGCGCGCACACGCATCATGCACACACACCTATTCTCAAGTATGCTCTTCAGTAGATTGGAAAGATCAGCTCAGTGGCAGAGTTTTGGTGCTCATTTAAGCAGCTGAGATAAGGACTGCTCTGTGAAGATTAAATATTCAGAAATGTGATTTCATAGACAGCCCAGAAGAAACAAACAAGAGTTAAGAGGGGGAAACAAGTTTCCTATTGTTTTCTTTTTAATGTCCAATTTTGAGAAGGAGCAGAGAGTGCAGCATCATGAGAAGGAGATTTCCCGAAGCCGAATTCCCCGTTTGATTCTTCGGCCCCATCTGCCCCAGCAACAGCACAAAGTGTCCCCAGCCTCTGAGTCTCCCTTCTCTGAGGAAGAGAGCAGAGAGTTCAACGCCAGCAGCTCTGGGCGCTCAGCGAGGACCATTAGCAGCAATAGCTTCTGCTCAGGTATAGTACCCATGGAAGCCACACACAATCAAGAAGTGTGTGCTCTGCTGGTGCATTGTGAATGGGCTGGAGTGTGCCCCTTAGAGCCTACATCTACACTTCTGTTATCAGGATGAATTGTCCTAGGTTGCACCTTTTTTGACCACTTTTGACCTTCACATACAGCAGGTTCATTTGGTTCAACCCTAATGGAAATTTGCACCTGTTTTAGATGTTCTTCTAGTTTATAATTTACTACATGAGCTCTAACTTTTGTTCCTATGACTCTTTTAAAAACTATTCCTTCAATAAATCTGGGAAATGTATTAGCTTGCATTTTTATACACGCAACCTTTCTAAGCCTGCACACATCTGATTATAGAATCCCCAAGGTTGAAACAACTCCTAATAGATGAGGTCAGGGTCAAGGAGGTTTATGTCCCAGGGCCGGCCTGACCTTGTAGTTTAGAGGGAAAAAACACGAGCTTTGTAATCTGCCAGACCTGAGGTGGAATCCTTGACCTTTGCAGCATTTTAGAAGCTGAATAACCTTGGGTAGGTTGCTTAACCTCCGTAAGCCTCAGTTATTACATCCGTAAAATGGAATCATCCCCTACCTTATAGAGCTGCTGTAAGGTTGAATGACCTGAAAGTACTCCCTAGTACAGTGCCTGGCTGAGAGAAATGCTTAGTAAATGATGGTTCTTAAAAAGATGAACTAGGGATGTCAGTTTGAGCACATGATTTTAGGAAGTTTCCTTACAGTTGTGAACACATTTGGTAAAGGCACAAATCTCTTCAGAGCTCCTGATGATCACTTAACAGAACCTGTTATGACCCATGAAAGGACATGACTTTGAACAACTTGCATTCTTTGGGAAGTATCAGAAAATTGGATGAAATTTAAAAGAGTGACTGTCTTGTGAGTAATGAAGAATGTCTCATAGTGGATATTCTTTAGAGCTTATTTAGGGAAAATGTAATTAGGAGGTTAACACAGGTATGAGAAGGAACATGTGAATCAAGATGCCGTGATTAATGCCCCATTTTAGCAGGTTCCGATAATCCATTATTTTTGTATCCAGTATGTTTTTCAGGGTTCCTTTAAGTGCAGCTTTGGATTTCTTAACGTAATTTCATGAAATCTATCCCATGTGTAAATTGTACATTGGAAATACTATGCTGCCATTTTTTTTTTTCCTCTGTAAAGCCTCAGACTCTCTCTTGATTCTGGAAAAAAAAATTCTATCAAAATATATTTTAGAGTTTGTTTCTTGCCATTTGGCTTATATGAATCTAGCTTAAAATGAAGACTCACTGATGGTTGTTTGATACTCTTGCAAGGAGAAAACACAAAGATACCTAAAACCTGGAAACATGTTTGCAGAAGGCAGTGCTGCTTGCTTTAACTCCATTTTGGAGCTCAGGCATTGTTTTGTCAGAGTGTGGGTGAACCCAGGGGATATCATTTCAAACTGACACTCTTTGTTTACATAACTCCATTACACATTTATCCCTGATATCTTCTCTAATATGGACTTCAGGGTGAGTAGTGTTGAGGAAAAAAAAAAAAGGAGGGTTGAAACAAAAGAAAAACTCTACATATGTTTTAGAAAATACATTAGGCAAACCAATACAATTACTAATTTTGGTTATGACTCACTCTCTCCAAGACCTATTCCTGGATGATCTCTCCTTCCCAGGAGACCCATCTCCCACTAAGGCCATAATGCTGTACATGAAAATCGAAAGCAGATATTGATCCTTCCGCCATTAAGTAGCTGAGAATTGAGTGAAAGAAGCATCTAATTATGGGCATCTATAAACCGGTCTTTCCATCTTTGGCCTTGCATCCTGCCTCCGGGTAGGATTCCCTCTCTTCCTAGGCCTCATCTTTCTGTGTCAGTTCTTCCCCAAGGTTTGGGTCCATCCCTTTCATTCTCTGCCTTCCTTTCCTCTGATATGCCCCTACCCCACAACAGCTTTGAGTGCTGCGCTGACGAAAATTGACGGGAGCCCCCTTTAGGGGCGTGTTAATGATGCTTTAGGAGGTCAGTTGGTGGATGGGAAATAAATGGGTTTGGTTCTATGGGGAGCATTAAAGCTACAGGCATTGAGGTAGAGAATGTAAAACATGTCTACCAGCAGGGGGAAATAGCTGGTTTTAATCCAGCCACTTTAACACTGAGGCCAGAATGTGTGTTGGCTGCTTAATCATGGCATTTAAGTTACAGACCAAGGTACAGGCAAATGTGAAAAATGCCATCCGCTGCTAGGATTAACCTAAACTAATTTAGAGGTGTCTGTTGCTGCTGCAGCTTCATAACCTTCTGGTGATCATTCTGTTTTAGTTTGTCTTCTTTAAAAATCATCACATTCACCAATGTGAAAGGGGACATGCAGAGTTAGGGGGATTCCTGTAATTTGAAAACTACATTTTCAGAACTGCAAACTGGACTCTTTCCCCAAATTTGTGTCAAAGGCATTAATTGTGAAGAGCATCATATGTTCTAAGATATTCAGTTTTTTAAAAAAGGATGTGGTGAGTTTACATGAAATTAAATTTACCTAATACAAAGAATTATCCTTTATTTCGAGAGTCTGGCTTCCCTATCCTTTACATATTACATAAGGAATATATATATGTATATATATATATGTACACACATATACAATGCAATATATATACATATATACGTATACAATACATATATACACACATACATATTTATATAAATATGTTGCATTTATTTATACATATTTATATATTATATCCTATCCTTTATATATTACATATATTATATATGTTTTTCATAATGTTATATTTTATTATAACAAAAGTCATGATGGTGGATGGTGGTTAAACTTGAGCAAAATAAATGACAACTAACTGTATGTTGGTGTGTTTTCCACATCTACCTTATGTTTTTCTTTTAATTTTACTGATCTGTGAAATTAAAAGACCAGAAAGCATGTATTTTCAAAGTGACCTGTCCATTTTTGCCTACTCTCTCTATTCCTTCCCCCACTCCACTGCCTTCCCCTTATCTTCCCAAGGGAGTCTTGACAAGGAACATTTAATGACTTGATATTCTATATGCTAATTTGTATGTTGTATCTATCTCATTTCAGAGAGGAGTTGTGTGTGACCTTTTGCAATTCATTTGGGGTGTATCCCCAAAGAGCGTTTCTTTTAATAGCTTCTTATTAACAGAATTTCTTGGAAGATATGCATATATTTTGTTCACTTCATCAGCACGTACGTTTTGCACTCCCATATCCTTCTCCTGATGAGTCCGTTCTTTACAGTTTGTTTTTAGTCTTAGTCACTGTGACCTTAATTGGGTACAGTTAAATTTATATGATATTGGAGGCCAGGCCCAATTTTGTGTGCATGGCAAGCAAAATATATATTCGTAGTAATATTAACTGAAGTTTAAAAAAAAAGAATTCAGAAGGAAGTACATTTAATAGTAAGTCAGTAGAAAGAAAACATCTGCTTTCATGTCCCCTCTTTTTTTTTTTTTAAGATTTATTCATGTATTTGAGAGAGAGAGGAGGAAGGGCACAGGGAAAGAGAGAGGATCTCAAGCAGACTCCCTGCTGCATGCAGAGCCCAATACATGTGGGCTCAACCCCACATCTCCGAGATCGTGACCTGAGCTGAAATCAAGGAGTTGAACACTTAAATGACTGAGCCACCCAGGCGTCCCCCCTCTTTTATTTTTAAATAGTTTTTTTAATCCAGTGGTTTGGCATGACATCACCCCATTTTCTGTCCCCCCGCCCCACTGCAACTTGTTTCTCATTGTAACATGCCCATGAATTGATAAAACTCACCTCTGTGATTTGTGTCTCGGGTGTGACCCATTGAATCTAGGCCTCTGACAATTTTCCTCCCCTTTCTTCATTGGTAGTGAATTCTGTTTGTCACCCTACTGTGGCTCCAGCCACTCTTGGAAAAGCCCCTGACACGGGTAGGTCAGCCAGTCACCTCCATCAGTCACCTGATGTGGTTAGCAGCATGCTGTGCATTCCTCCTTGCTTAGTTGTGGTAATAATTACCCCTTGCAGCTGGAAGGCAGATGGATCTCTGGGTTTTATTCTAGTTCTCCTGGGGGTGCCTTGTAAGCATGGCAGGTAGAACAAATTATGTGTAGAAAACCCTGGTTGTTTTATGGGAGACCAGTGATTTCTTGAAGTTATTTCCATGTTGTGAATATACACACATAGATACGTAGGCAAGTTTGTGATTTCAGCTGTTAAAAACATGTGCCGGGTCTGTACACTAAATGGTCAGAATCCAAGATTCTTTGTAGTTGAGTCCTGAGTAAGGTGTTTGTGGAGAGTATTTTGGATTTTACAGTGGTTGGGAAGAAATCCTTCTTTGAGCACCAGTGACCTAGAGGTAATCATTGCTGCTGTTTGTGGGAAGAACAATTAAGGCAAATTACAACCTGATGAGTGTCCTGCTATGACATGACAGTACCTCCAGAAGTTTGCCAGGCCTTGTCAAACAAATATTTCTGCTTTGCTTTTGTGCAGTTGAGGAAACTTGGCATCTGGATAGAGTAAACCTTTGAACCCAATAATCAGGATGGAGGTGAACTGCTTCAACTGAAGTGAGCTATAATACTGAATTACATTAAAATTGAATGACTGCCAACCTGCTGTGACGAAAAAAAAAAAACAAAGACCCTAAGACTTTAGTATCATTTTAATGATTAGGGGACCCAGGCACTATTGCATAATAGAGATTTCAAGTGCTTAGCTGCCTCAGCTGCAGAAATAAGTATCTAAAGATATAGGTTACAAATGAAGGGTACCTGCGCAGTATTTCTTTGAGGATATAGTGACTGCAGTTAGGAGGGCAAGAGCAAAATTTTTTTTTTTTTTTGCCGTCTAATAGAAGAAATACATAGCAGTGGGGACAATGAATGGTAATCATGATGGAATTGCACCGTGCCTAAGAGCAATTTATGGTTCTTAACATGAAAATCTTTTATGTACTAAAATACTAA